TCAGGTTTTCTTTCTCTCTATTTAAATCTCACTCCCTTCCCTCCTCAGTTCCCAAAGATTTAGCCTCAGTTTCCAGTCTGGAACATAACAGATGACACTACTTTTAAAAATAACAATAACAAAGCCCATAAGAAAACATGGTTTTAGGTGTTTTGTTGGTTCTCGGTCCAGAAGAGATGCACTTGCTAATGATGCCTTGTTGTTTCTCAAGCTTCTCTTAAAAAGAAAAAGCATCTCAGTCCACAGCAAAGTATGGACCCCCGAGTGAGACAGGGACTCGAGCCCCCCCCCAAAAAAAACTAGGTTGGGGGGCTGAGCCTCCCTGAAAGGATCTGGTAAAACTGCACCCCCAAGACTCCGATACCTTCTTTGACATTATCTATCAATCAGAAGTTGATGAGAAAGACTCCTTTGCAGACTGCCAGAAATAGTGCAAATTGAGTCCACTTTAAGGGTCATGGTTAGTGCTAGGGAATCATGGGAATTGTTGTTGTTTTTCTGAGATACTGAGCCTTCTCTGTCAGAGAGCTCTGGTGCCACAATAAAATACAGTTCCTATGATTCCCTAACCCTAACCCTTAAAGTGGACTCAATTTGCACTATTTCTAGCAGTCTGCAAAGGCAGCCATGATCATGGAGTTCGTCCAGAAAGACTCAAGGCTGCTTGCAGTCTGTCCAGAGCCAGCGTGCCTAGTGGTTGGAGTGTTCAGCTCCGACTCTGGAGACCAGGGTTCAATTCCCCGCTCAGCCATGGAACCCACTGGGTGGCCTTGGGGGAAAAGTCACACTCTCTCAGCCTCAGGGGAAGGCAACGGCAAACCTCCTTTGAACACATCTTGCCAAGGAAACCCCATGATAGGTCTGCCTTAGGGTCGCCATAAGTCGGAAACGACTTGAAGGCACACAGCAACACCAACAACAACCAGTCTTATCCTCTTCCTCCTCCTCAGCTTAATAATAATAATAATAATAATAATAATAATAATAAATACATTTTATTTATATCCCGCTCCTCTGCTGGAGCGGCTTACTCAGGAGTAAGTACACAGAACTCATGGAAGGCATTTCTAAGCTTACAGTGGAGTCTCCACCATTAAGGAATTTAAAGAAATAGCTGTGTATTTTTTTAGTCTAGAAAATCAGGATGCAAAGGGATCTCGCAGCACTTAGGGCCTGAACAGACTGCCAGAAATAATCCAGCTTGAGAGCGCTTTAACTGTCCTGGCTCAATGCTAGGGAATCATGGAAGAAAGAAGCTGAGAGCAGGAGCTTTGGGAGACCTGAGCCCACTTCCTCAGGTGCATTTGAAGGAAGCTTGGTCACAGATGGGAACAACCATTCT